TCGTTCACCCTTTCAGCAGTAAAGAGTAACTCGGATTCACGGTGCAATATATTGTATTTAAAAAAATTAGAATTAATTTTCACATAACGTCACCTCCCATGCATGTACCACGTAATTTAGAGATTTTTTTATGTAATAGAGGTAGTGCGATCAGTGGAGGGAGGGGCGCTGGGAATGGTCCACAAAATGAAATCTCACGAGGATAGAAGAGCGAGTAGTGAATTCACCAAAACACACAGCGTGGTGCCACTGAAAATAACTTTTCAGTAATTAGGGTAGATTGCCATTCTTGAAGAAAGCAATTAGCTTTTTCTAGTAGGAAAACATTAAGGTTATGGATAAAAATAGAACTTAGAGAAAAAGTGGTAAGTCGTGCAAGTCGTACTTCACTGAATTATTCGATTTGCCACAAATAACAAGTAGCATTCACAATATTTCTACTCTGAAAGTAATAAAAGTCGACTCCTGCTCCTTTCACGTTAGCGATTACGGTGGACAGGCGCGCGTCGCTGGCAACATCGAGCAGAGTGTACATGCGGCGCCCTCTGCAACGGCTAAGTCGGATCTTCCCGCCGCGCCGGGCGCTTAGTGGGAGCGTGGGGTGCCTGAGTCCCCCGTGTGGCCATCGGCGCGCCCCGGGTTGCGCTCCCGCTTCCAAAGGCCAGCGGTCGCCGCGAAGGCGTTTCGCAAGCTCGCTCTCGGCTCGAAACGAGGTCTCCACGGGCGCACACTTTGGGCTCTGGAGCTCGAACCCAGGCGTATCGTGGATTATTTTTATTTAAGTAATATATCTAGCAGTTGAAAGCTTTAACAAATCCACACTTTTTATTGGGTTTTTGTTTTAAATATTATTGAATGTGCTAATACGAAATAAATTTAGTCCAGTCGTAATTCCGAGAGCTTGAAATATTCATGTTTTCCGAATCTAATACATTATCGCTGTTTGCTGCTTGCAAACGTTCTGTGCTCGCCCCTACGTGATGCGTGTAGGTCTTTTGGACGCGTCAAAGAAATAGCCGAGCACCTCGGCTTCTCGGGATTGGGCGAACTCTCGCTCGCTACTCGCTGAATGCGGATATCGTACAGAAATCCATCCATAATTGTCAACTCATTAAACCATCACTAAATTATTTTTCAGGTCATCAATATTAAAAATACTAATAACTAAGGTGGACGCAATTTACCTTTTGGAAATTTGGATTTTACTATGCAAGAAATAACATTACTGCTACCCTAAATTACATTTTTGAGTCAACATGAAACACGAATTCCCAAACACACTTCAATCCTCAATACTTTATGATGATGTATTAGATTCGGACAACATGAACATTTCAAACTCTCGGAATTACGACTGGACTTAATTTATTTCGTGTTTGCACATTCAACAGCATTTAAAACAAAAAGCTGTAATACAAAAAAGTGCGGTTTTGTACAAGCTTTAAACTGTTAGCTGGACATATTACCTAAATAAAAATAATATTTATATAAAGAACTAAATCTCCAACGCGTGACACTGCACCGCAAAGAAAGTTCATTTTACAGCGCGAACACTCAAACGATTTTTTAAAAAATAATCATACTTGTCACGCGACTCAAACTTACTTCTGGCGTAGCCATAATTAACGAGAAAACTTGAAGCGCCCCACACGCAGGCGCGCAACAGCCGTTCGGGGCACCGGAAGCGCGGCCGCGAGCGCGCTCTACGTGCGTGAAAGAGCTTCCGGGGGCGGCGGCTGACGCAACGGTCGCGTACAATTACGCGAGACGGTTGCCGCGCGGACACCCCCTTTCTCTCTCTCTCTCTCTCTCTCTTGGAGGCGGCGGCGGCGACTGCGTCGGAATATGGCGCAAGGGAGACGCAGGGAGGGGGAGGGGGCGGACTAGTTTACTGTGCCGACTGTTTTGAGAGGTTCCCCTCCGATTTACCTTTCTTTGACTTCGCGTAAATGGCAAAAGTCGATAGACTGACTATTCACAGAGTCGCGTCCAGTTAGATCATTCGTTTCGTAAATGTAGTGCGTCTTATTCCCGGAAAGTGGCGGTGTTCTTGCTCTGGAAGGGAAGGCGAGTTTCGACACAAGTCGGGCGGTACGTGGCCCATTTGCTAGCGATCCTATGACTTTTGGCTACGATTTTGATGAAAGAACCCACAATAAACTATAGATCAACGCAGCCTCAATACGGCGCAAGGGAGACGTAGGGACGTGGAAGGGGAGGAGAAGTTTACTGTTCCGTAGATTTCAAGAAGAGCTCCTCTAATTTCCTTTTGTTTCACTTCGCGGAAATGGCAAAATTCAATAGAGTGAGTATTTATTGATTCCGATGGCATCAAGGACTCAGTCTTCCGATGGCATCAAGGACTCAGACTTCCGATGGCATCAGTTCAGAAAGTGTCACCGAAAAAAAAAAAAAAAAAGAACGTTGAGAGTACACCAGATTCATGATACTGCTTAACAAGGTTTCTTGATTCTGGACTCTGTATTAATCCAACGGTTCTTTTTTTTCGTGTAGTGCAAGTTATTCCTGGAAAGTGGCGGTGTTCTTCTCACACTGGAAAGGGAGTGGCGAGGCCGCCCCAGCACGCCGACCATTTTGTTAGCGATCGCATGATTTTCATCGTAGAAACCACAGAAAACTATCGATCAACGCAGCCGGCCAGAAGAATTGTCCTACAGGCAGAGTTTGAATTAAACTATCAATGCAGCTGCTAAACCCGCAGTCGCCTCTTCTCAAACCCTCGGCCATCCCGGAATTACAAGAGACAGCAGTGATGTGGCCCCAACTAAAGAAGTGTTTCTGTCTATTCTATCCTGCTTTTCGAAGACTGCACTGGTGCTGCTGAAGGAATTTCAATATCAACTGAAAGCGATTACTTTTTAAAGGCAGAAGAGATAAAATGTCAGGAGGAAGCTCGAGGTGAAAAACATGGGGGGGGAGGCATATTAGTACTAATGTTGAAAATAAATGATTACGCTCCTAACAGAAAATTAAATGAAAAGGGAATAAGGAAGCCTGTGAAATGGCATGAAGCACACTTCAAAAATATTATTTTTCTACAATAAACGGAAGTTATAGTCATTTTAATAAATATCAACACATGATTAATAATATTATTGCTTTATCCAATACATTTGATTGCATCGGAACATTAAACTTGGAACTATCTCGATCGGTCAGCAATGAGCACTAAATTACCAAATTAAGTTTCATTACGACAGACAAAAAGACAGGTAATAATTCGTATAAAACATTTGTGGTTATAATTTAGTTCCAAAATGAACTTGCGGTAAATTTGACTAGAGAGACAAAATCCTAATCTCTTTGAAGCCTAGTTTGTTAGCTTACTGCCGCAATGTCAGAGGAGATCGATAATACACTAATGTGCTCTCACTTCGTAATTCTTTTTTCAACATTGCAAAATGCAGTAAGATAAAAAATTAAACCTGTTTGGTTTTCCGTAACTTTCTCTGTTGGTTGAGGGGGCGGGCCTAAAAATGTGACCGTTCAACACAGTACATCACTCTCCTGACAACTGTTAGTGACAATAATTGAGTATTCGCTGCACTGGAAATTAGAGCACACAGAAGAATAAATGGATAGTAAAAAAACTCCAACGTCACAGAAGTCGTCCAAGGTTTCTCTATCGAAGCTCGTATGTAACAAGTACGGGTGATGAAATTTCGTTGCAGGTTGCGGAGGCGGACTGGAGCCAAGTCTCCACAAAAATGGTGAGTTTTTTAGTCGGGAAAGGCAAATTACGGAAGGAACACGCGTACCCTTCTACTTTCAAATTTTTTCACAACTCCCTGTTCTATTCTTCACTGTACTACCTTCGTAGAGGCGAAAAAGAATCTTAGAAGTGCAGTTTGGAACAGCAAAATGGAGAAATATATAAACATACAATGAATTACGAAAAAAACGACGAAGGCAGCAAATCAATTATGAAGACATATGTGCGCGAGCTGGGGAAGGTTCTCAGATATGCACTGTTAATCAAGGCCGGAAAAAGAAACGAAACTAAAAAACAAAGTGACAGTCTGGAAATTAACGCGAGATGAGGTAATCGAGATCTCACGAAATGGGAAAGTAAAACGCGATATTTTTCTTCTTTCTTTATTTCTTGTTCTACCACAAGTCCTTTCAAGAGCTTCAGTTCACTTGAATTAATAGTCACAATAGGTTTGGGCACCATCGCTAATTGTCAACTCTTTAAACCATCACTAACCTTACCATTAAACCATCATTAAATTATTTTTCTGTTCATCAATATTAATAATACTAATAACTAAGGTGGACGCAATTTATCTTTCGGAAATTTGGATTATTTTTCTGCAAGAGATAACAACATCACTGCCTAAATGAATTTTTTGAGGAGAAAAGTTCAGTGAAGAGAAACTTTTTTTGAGACATTTTCAATATTTGATTTTTAATGTAATCTCTATGAATTTCGGAATTTGGTACAAACCAAGGGGCTTGGAGTATACGCCCAGGGGCCAAGGCGTTTATTTTGCACAACTTTCTTTTTTTTTTTTCAAAGTGAAGAAATAAGTCGAAGTACAGTACGAGGCGCGAAGCCGTGAAAGAACAGGCGAAAGGGTCCTTCGCAGATGGCGACGGGGCACAAGAGGCATCTCGCAGGGAGACGGCTAGAGTCGCGCTAGTTCGCAGGTATTTGCGGGATTAAGAGGACACCTGTTGCGCCGTTCGAGCGAGGAATACGTCCCGCTGGCTGTGAAGCTGCTCCTAACGTCCGATTGTCATCCGGGACTGTTGATGGCGATAGAAACAGTCCGCAGATTACCTTTGAAATTTTGTGAACATCGTTAAAAGAACAGCGAGATGCACAGTCCATTCTCGGGATTAAAACCATGACGTCTCTAAACTTCACGTTGGACCTCCAGTTAGCCATTCACTATAATTATGTTCTGGGAACAAAAGTCTTCAAGAATACACGCTAGGAGACGATTAACTCGATGCACTTATTTCATTTTAGCTACGTGAATCCACAAAGCTGTGCCATAAGGCCGACACCAAACTACTACAGAAAAAAAAAAAGTTTGAATATAAATTTTATACTTAAAATAGTGAAAATGAAAATCAATTATACATACTATATCACAAACAACTTAATTACGCGTATTTCTTTACCCAAAGACATTATGATTAATTAAACCAAATAATTATTTAAATAATTCAAATTTTAATGAATTATGTATGTGAATAGTTTAAATCATTTAATTAATTAATTATTAATTTCTCTTTAATCTATGAAAATAACTTTCAATAGTTGTATTGGCAAATTTATTGAAAAATACAAGATATGTTTTCCAGAGTATGGTTTTATTCACTCTCGTGGTCAGCGTGCTCGCTTTCCAATACGCGGCCCCGGGATCGACTCCCGATCAGGCAAGATTGTGCGTGTTCCCTGGAATGCCCCAGTATATGTCGCTGTTATGACGATGAGAAAATTCACTTTTCAGGTTGAGAAGACAGGAATACGGCGTGGGGATGTCTACGTGCTAACCAAACGTACCCCCATATAACCCTTATGGCCGCGAAGCAGGGTCATCGGCGGTAGGTCGGAGCCCGTTCACGGGCTGTCGCGCCAAGTACATACATACATGGTTTTATTGAGCATTTCTGCTTCCTAATCATTCAATTCAGGAAAAACGGCGTGCCAAGAGCTGTGACAAGTCGAGAGTCGACTCTTGTTTCGTCGAGGAGGGGGAGGAGGAGGTGGCGATCGGATCGAATGTCGTCCAAACCCGAGAAACCAGCCGCCCGTTCGGGACTCGAAGCAGCAGGGCCGGTCCGCGGGTTGGGAAACCTCGCCGCCCGCGCCCCCGCCCCCGCCCCCACCCGCGCTCGCAGGCGCCGGCGTGTCACCAGCGGGCGGTTCAACGCTATACGCCAAGGCCACCGCGACGCCCTCGCCCGCGCCCGCGCCACTTCGGCGCTTTTTACGTAAGCGACAGAACGGGTCCGCGGCGCAGCCACAAGCCAGTCGCCGCGGAGGTCCCTATCACGCAATGGATGAGGAGGTTAAGAAACGCGCGACGTCTAAACGCTTATGCAGTACTCGCGCGCGTTCTCTGAGCACGCACTGATTTATTTTATCTCTTACCTTTTAATACTTTTCGCCTTAGGAATCACTTGTTATCAGTACTTTCCTACTAACTCTAAACTAAAAATTTAAAACCCGTCTTCCTAGCTCCACCATTTTTACTTCCATAAACATTCGTCTACCCCAAAATAAAACAGCCCATGTACACCCAATACCTATCCCACAACCTAATCCTCGTCCACGTATGAGGAAATGTTAATATATCTAAAAAAACAACACAATAAAACACCCAGAATGATGAGCCGCGAAAAACGATGGCAGGCATTCACAACCAACTACACCAAGACAGACAGGCAGTACTTTCCTACAGTTTTTTTTAATCATCCTTTGGTTTCGGTTGACTAGTGTAGTTGTTTCGTAATAATTAGCAAATGCGAACTCTCAGTCAGACGCGAGGACTGGCGTTACATTATTGCTTGTAGTTTAAATGAATGGATAAAAAAAAATAGGAAAATTCAAACAATGGATAAAAGTAGAAACTTATTACTACAGTGTTCGTTGTTTTTTTTTAAATTTTGTACAATCCGAGTAAAAATATTTTGTTCAGAAATTCACGAATGTGATATATATTTGAACCACTGTTAAACCATTAACGCTTAAATTAATTGTGCGCACGTAGGCCTCACCTATTGTCGTCGGTTCGTTTGCGCAGTCACCGTTGAATCCTTTTTGCAACTTAGTAGCTAACCAATTGTTGTGTTGCTAAAAAAATTGCTACCAGAGCGCTCCAGCACACTTAATACATTTAGGTTAAAACTTTATTTTTTGTTGATATTAATTTTTCATTAAATCGGTTAGAACAATCCCACGCCTTTTCTTTTCCATTTAATTTTATACAGAGAATAAATTTCCTTATCTACTTTGCATACATCCACTTTTAGGTAAGTTCAGACTTGTGGTCCGCGGATCCTGATGTTTCAAACTATGCCGCGATTACTGTAGGGTTGATGCCACACTTACGCAAATGTTCGGATGAACGTGGCGGGCAGGTACGCAGGATGACGAAGTGAAGGTTTTAGCGTGAATGATGCAGCTCCTGTTGCGAAAGGGTACTGGACGAATGAAGAAGATGATACCCATTTTTATCAAGAGGTTTTAATGGATATTCTTCACTCCTATTATTTTATGTTGTCGAGGTTATCGGCATTATGTCCGTAGTCAATCATTTCATAAAAAATTCATATTAAACCCTATTTCAAGGTTACTGAAACAGAAAATGGTCCACTAACGTCAATCATGGTAAAATGTTGAAGACTGGAAATAGAATATAGAACAGCTTCTGACAATAGTGAATTAAAATATATTTTAGGAGAAAATAGTTCAATCAATAACTGTCGCATTTGTCAGAAGTCTACAATCGCAACGATAATAACATACAAGCCGCAATTTATTTACATTCCTGCGAGTAAAAAGCATAAAAAATGATTGTATGATGCCCTTTAGCATCTGTTTATTTTTGACGAACATTGTGGCATCCAAAGAAAATCAAATTAGAAAACAATGCAATTCCATAATCAACGCAGCAAGTCCACACACACGCGTGCGCTCTCTAGCTCCAATTCAGCATCTCGACGATTTATTTGTAATGCATTTTAGAAGAATAAACTATTCTAATTTAATGTAACGCATTACCTCATTACGGAACATATCGCGCATTTCATATCACACATAAAAATAAAACAGAATAAAAATTGTCATGGAAAGTAATAACTTCAATGCAATGTTTTGAATTTGAAGTTGTGAAATAAAGCTTCTCAGTTTGTTAATCCATGACTTTTTTAAATGTGATTTTTATATATTAATGAACTATGTTTTCACGTGTCAAATTATATTAATGCATTTCTGAATTGTTCTTCCACGCAACTACTCACATCAAGTACAGAGTATAAAGGTTTCTCCCACCTGAACCCTCTTAATAATTATCAACTGACAAGTGAACGATGCCCCTCAGCAACACGCATTCACGAGCCAACGAGCGCAGGATGACGTTATTGCGAGAGTCTCGTCGAAAAGTTGGGAGGCAACCCCATTGATCCACATATACACGTGTAACTTTCCAGAACAAACCTCTCTCTTGTGTCATAAAACGTTCGGCCAACTCGCCGGGATGTTTTCATTGCGCGCAGGAAATTCTGGGGCGACGGCAACTTCGAAGCGCTTAAAGCCCTCAACGTGGGGAACGGCAGCGGCCCGCTGTTTAAGCCCGCATCAGATAAAACGGTCGTCTAAGCGAGGACACGAGACGCGCGACGGGTGCGGCATTGCCGCTCAACGCGTTTACGTGAGCTCTCGTCTCGGGTGCGTCCGCACTGCTGCTCCCCCTGCTGGAGAAGATGACAGTCTTGAGGAGCTGCTCCTCAGTGGAAGTGAAACTACGGAACACACCAAGATGAGGGCTGCGAGCCTGACGAATAAGCCGAGAGATATATACAGGAGAAGAGAGATAAACTACAGGACTCAGCACGCAATTTTAGTGCGACGCAAGGCATTCATGTCTGCGGAGATATACAGAGCAAATTTGAATCATGGACTAAGCATTAATTATACGTGACATAGTTTACGATTTTATGAAACAAATATTATATTGGAATTCTTCTTCTTTGGCCCTATCTTCCATATACGGAAGTTATGTGAGACATAACGGGTTTTCTTGGGGTAAATTATTCAGGGTGGTTTCCCGTTGCCTTCCCTGATATGATGATGATGGTGATGATGATAGGGGGTGAAAGGACGTACACAATATAACAATGCCCGAGGCGGGACTCGAACCCGCGATCTTTCGGTACGAGATCGCTACGGCACTACTGCCTTAGCGATCTCGGCCACCGGATCGGCCTATTGGAAATGCGAATTTAATATTTGCCATTATTTTGACTACTCATTGCCTATCTCTGACCCTTGCTTGAACCTGACTTCGCATTCCGGAGGCCCGGGTTCAATCCTCGTGCCAGCCATCCTGACCGGGTTTTTCATGGTTTGTCACAGTCATCCAGGCGAATGCTGGGATGGTTCTAGCGAAAGGCCACGACCGCTAAAACGGCGTCGCTAGCAGAATTCGCTAACAGCGTGAAGTCACGAAGGTTAAGCGAATTCGAGACATCGCGGGTTCCTGGTTGGGTGAACCTCGGGATCTAACGGCGCCGAAGTCACTTGCAGTTAACGGGACATTAATAGTTGAATACGAATTCGAATTATTTTGAATAACAACTTTCCTCAATAGACGCCCAAAATGTACAAAAAGATTAAGTTATTTCCAAAAAAGATTTTCAAAAATTTTGAAAAACAAAAGAAAATATTTTAATTAAAATAGAAATTCTCCAATTTTCATTTCAATATTTCTTCAAATATTTCTTTTAGATCGTATTGTCACTTTTTTGAACAATCACAATGTATTTGCCCCTTTATATTACAGCTCTATATTTCGAGTTATTTTTGAAGTGATCGACGACATTATGTCATTGTTACACAAACTGTTTTATTAAATGAATATTTTTAACAATGGTAAGCACATTTTTGAGGCTACAGGTTCCGTTGAGAAGGACGTTCGCGTATTACTTAAAAATATTCACTTCGTAAGGCAGGAGGTGAAACAGCGCCGTAATATCATAAGTCACTTAACAAAAGAGAGTCGGCCGATGACAGTATAAATAGTATAGATATATAGATGCATCCTTCCTTCGTTACGTATGCTCGACTGTCGTCGGCTACTGCCATCTCCCTGCGCCATCGTCTCGTGCCATCCGCGGGCGGACAGTGCAGTGCAGTGCAGCGATTGCCCCGACCTGCTTCGGCAGCCGCTGGCGCCCGTTCAAGAGCTTGCTCCGGTCCGTTTGCTTCGATTAGGCGGACACGGCCGATAACTCACGCGGTCGAGGAAGTGTGACACAACGTTAGGGCTGCCACATTACTCAAGAGGGCTTCTGGAGCTCCAGACCACGGCCGATATCGCCAGCGCATCAAAGGGGAATGCGATGACAGGCGAGACAAGGGAGCAATCGGCCAGAAGGGAATCGATAAGACGTTAACAGTAATTATAAAATTCGTTAGATTTTAACACTAGCGGTGCTACAACTGCGGGTGCTGTCTCGCGTCAGTAACGGTTACGTAAAACTTTAATTCGCAATTTCTGTCCTTAACACTTCTCAGCTGTCACTTGTAAAACACATTATTCATTTAAATGGTTTTTGAAAATTGAATTCATTTACAGCTAATACATCAACACACATTTGACATTGCCACACTCCGTTCCATTTACCCAAAAACACTTCCCAAAAATAAGAAGTGACTTGGAGAATTTCAAACTGCCATGTCGCGGCGTTCTATTATTCAATTGTAACGTGCTAATTCTTGAAAGATTCTTGCAAAAGATGTTTGGGAAATTCGCATTTTCATATTCCAAAACTGGAAATTTCGCCATAGTACTAATTTAAATACATACATTACCTTTTTTAAAGAACTAAATTTTCACAATTGATTTTAATTAAAAAACAATTATCATTTTTTTACCCAATGTTAATTTTGTTAGAAATATTCGAAAGAGGGACTTTATGAGAGGGGTGCGTCGAAAATGGGACGAGTACCACATTCTTTGCCTTTCTTTACTTCATACTAGGGGAAAAAATAAAGAAAATATTTAGAGCGTTATTGAGAAAAATAAATATTTAAAATTGCCTGTTTCGCGTAAAATTGCACAAAAACTACTAACAATTTCATCGAATTAAATAAGACCTTATTTCAGGATATATTTTTGATGAGAATACTTCACTTCTTTTAAAAATCTATCTTCAATATTGCAGTTGTAGGAAGACGCGGAAAATTATTTTGAACTTTTTGTATTTTCGAAAATTCAGAGACTGCAACGAAAATGTGACCTATGCCATTTCTTTTTCCGTCGT